TGTGTGTGTGTGTGTGTGTGTGTGTGTGTGTGTGTGTGTGTACGTGTGCGTGTGCGTGGGTGTGGGTGTGGGTGGGTAGTTGGGTGGGTGTGACAAAAAGATTTTTTAAACGTACTTGCTGCTCCAGTGTAGAGCACATCGTTGATCGTTGCATAGCAGGTTCCGCTGTTATTTACATCACAGGGAGCGTCACAAAAATTCAGCTGCGGTGTCTGTTGTGTTTCTTCTTGTGCCGTTGCTGCCCATAACAATAGCGAAATAATGCACCAGATATAGCTAGCTGTGTTGTGTATTGAGACCACCATGATGCTGTGTATAGTAGTGTCTGCTGATGATACTTAAGATAGGTGTACTTTGAAATAGCAAAATGTTTAAGGTCACATTTAAGTGTTGCAACACTCCTAGGTCTGCACGCTGAGCATGATAACCCAGACAAAGACTCTCAACTTTGGCGTATATTTTATTGCTGACAATTTATTGCAAGCGAAAGTGCAGTATGTCGATCGAAACTGTTTACTGTAAGCATATGTAGATCAAGACAATACAGCTGCGTGGCTCTCTCTTGTGTATGCCGCACGCGTGTGCATATGAAGGTTTGTATATAATCTATATAAAGACAAAGAACCTTCTTCGAATCTATTAATTCTCAATTTCTCATCATCTTGCGCATTCTAAAAAGTTAATTATTGTTGATGAGTATGTATTTATTTACCTTTTTTTTATATGAGTAGTGCTTTTGGATTGCAGGCTTTTGATTGCTGAAATATAAAATATTGATTTACAAGTGAATTTTATTGCGAAATCTTTTTTTTATTTTAACAAAACAATCAAGCATTATAAAATTCAAGTCCAAGACGCAAGATTGTTCATTTGTTTATAAACCGATCTGCAAGTCCTCCCCTGTGTAAATATAATCTATCAAAATCAAATGTGTATATTTTAATAAAAGTCACCGACAGGCATCGAAAAGCTTAACTGAAACAAAATAATGGAGTTCAGCAACCTCAACATTTTGAAAAACTTGATGCCACGTTATGTACACAGTACACAACCTTTTGCTTCACAACTGTTGTTGCCTACGAACAAGTTAAATTACGCATTCGATTCTTTCAGTACCTTTTCCCCCTTGTTGGTCGTAAACGCTCGTCGATTCTATCCGAGTCGATTCGAGTGCGTTTGTTATGTACTTTTTTTTAGATTCTACTTTAAACAATGGTAGTGGACTCAATCCGCCGGCAGACAATCGAGCCTTATCATCTGCGATCAACGACTACCGTACACATACCCTATCATTCTGAACTACGAGTCCGATTTGCGCATGAACTTACCACCCTCTTCTAACGTCTCGACCGTCTTCTTGTTGCTTCATCGCATGTATGTACAATTTGCCGATAACAACTAATATTGAAACGCTCCGACATTTATGTTTTATTCAACGTTCAACTCAAAAAAAAACAAAATATGAGAGCTATGTATTATTTATAAATAAACAGCTTTTTGTTTGTTCCGCAACAGCACTCTCCAAGACTCTCAAATATTGCCGTTGGTTTTGCTACAAGACCCCCACAACAACAGCATCCCAATACTATACTCCTAGCAATCCTTCAGTCTCGTCGCATCTTTCCGCCATCATCTCGGGGTAGACCGTCCGACTCGCTCGGGCACACTGCTTGTTAATACTATGGTTCCTCGCTGCCTACTCCTGACTTTACAACAAAATGATACACACTTTACCTTGTACTAATCGAGAATATCATCTCTATGGATCCCTTGTCCCCGCCCATAACATTTCGCATGGAACAGGTTGTCTCTCCACGCCTACAACTTCACCAACTATCGTAGCTAACCCTAGCACGTATTGTATGCTAGCATGAATTGCTGCTCGAATTACTCCAGGACGCAGTAGATTTCCAATTCACCCTCTATAAACTATAATCCATCTATTGCAAATGTTATATTTAAACCTTTTTGTTTACACATTTCACCAACAAACCAAAACAAAAAAATTGACCGTCAAAATGATCAATTGATCATTGAGCAATACAACTCTGATGATTTGCAAATGTTTTTTTCGTTCTTTAAAAAAAACATTTACTACAAAAATAGCTTCTTTTTTTAATTATTACTCTCTATGTCGCCTCAGCCTCACTTCGGCCTCACTCACCAGTCGCAGCGTGTCTCATAATGAGTCATGACTCATCTCTTGTTGTGTTGAGTTGGGGGGTTTTTTTTTAAAAGAGAGAGCTTACTGTCAGAACTTGAACTCAACTCAGAACTCAGAACTAGAAGTCTGTGTGGAATGTTGCATCATCATGGCCCTGAGGCCCTCTCTACTCTCTTTTTCTCTCTGTAGACTCGTAGATTGTGTAGAGTGTAGCGAGACAGAGAAACTGTCCTTTTTTTTTAACGTTCTCCCCAGTCCCCACTCCCCAGTCCCCACTCGCCAGTCCCGACTCTAGACGACATGAGAGAAAATCATTTCTGACTATGAGAGACCCTTGTCTACTTTGTATGTCTTTTTTTTGTATAAAACAATTCAGCGTACTGATAAAATGAGTTGCAGACAGACGACAGTATGTATTTACAGAGAATTATATTTAGACAGTTTATTTTAGGATAGACTCCTCTAGTCTAAAAGAGTCCTAGACTCCTACGGCTGCAAATACCTCTCTATGTGTCACGGTATCAGTCAACCCAGACCATTCTATTTTTAGATGCATCAAAATATGATAGATCAGGCGATAAGCTTTTTAATTACCTCTCTCTCTCCTCTCTCTCCTCTCTCTCTCTCGTTCTACTACTACTAGAGAGAGGAGAGCGTGCATATATGCGGCAGATAATAAGGTCATCACGTAATAAGCACAACTCGGTGCATACCCACAGCATTCCAATATGTCTAAACGTATGTCCGATGCAAAATGGTGCCTCGAGTTCCTACGTGCAGGCACAGCAGAAGACCAAGAAAAGCTCTTGTACGGACGTGGCGATACGATAAAAGAGAACCACACAGACACGATCAGTCGTATGTTCAGTCTAGAAGCCCAGATCCTGTTTAACGACAAGAGTCGCACGAATCGCAAACAACAGGTGTTCAATTAAGCATAATATTAATAGTGATTATTACATGTCCACGTATAACTATGTATGCATGAATATAAACAACTATATAAATATA